ATGTCCTTCTCTGGGATACACTTCTCTTCAGCAGTAGACGTGAAGAGATGTGTTGTCGCAGGGAAGGCCGACTTCTTCACGCTAATTACGAAGATGTTCATAATCTTTACATCATCCGGATGTTTGTATCTCCTGTACAATAACGTTGTACCGGGATATGAAATATCCTGATGAAGTAGACGGTCGTCAACTTCCCCCTTTTTTCTCATTTACACTACCCGAACTAATCAGCTCAATCTTCAACCAATGCCGTATGAATTGAGCATGATTGGTTTTGGTGGCGGAATGTTATTTCTTTTCGCAAATCCATCGAGCGACGTTTTCAACCTTTGCCAAAATCCGCATTGTAGCAGATTTTGGTCAGGTTGAAAATGCCGCAAAATGGTATAGATGCAAATGCCTCTTATTTTTGCTATCCTATTCGATTCATTGGTAAGAATTGCTTCCGCGATTGGCTAATTTGAGCTAGCAGCTACAAGAGGAACCGCCCCACTCCTTGAGGGATTATAGTGCCATGGATCATAATCACATCAGGGAATGGGTCGGTTCTTTATCAATGCTGCTCTATCACAAGTGGTGCTCAAGTACAAATTATTTGAAACAGAGTCTTTGCGAGCGGAGGTGGAAGACATGCCTCTTCCTTTAGGAGCCATTTGCGTAAGTTTTCTCCGAAAACTTAGACAGAAATTTTCTAAGGCGACTTTAAGTTCATGACCCACAATTAGTCGCTATTTTTAATTTTCCAATTTAGACTGGCTTGGGCTTGTTCTTATATTTTTGGCTGCTCATATTTCTCGATGGTTTTATTGCCCGATTGCTCGGTTCATCAAAAACGCACATTCATTACTCAAGGGAAGATCATGTAAGTTTATTTTTGAATTTTGCACTTTTCTAACAAATTGCCGTAGAAAGTTCTCTTCTCTTGCAGTGTATTCCTGATATTGATCCGTCTTCCGTAGCTACGCCAAGAGCACCTCCTGCGGTTATCTCCAACACCGATTTTACCCAGGAGAGTATGGTGAATACCAAATAAAACAGTCTTAATGCAAATTCTGAGATTTTTAAAACTTAACAATGCATCTTTTTCAGTAGTTGCTTTAAATAAAGAGAGTTGCAAGTGTATATGTTGTGTTCCAGTGTGTTCTATACCACAAGTTTTGTGGTGACCTTTATTATCAGTGGCCTTACGTTTCGACTGATCGTCGTCTTCAAAGGTATAAAGGGGGCGAGACTGGTGATCACATGTTATCTGACCAAACGCTTCCTCAACCTTTAGCTAGTTTTCGATCGCCCTTCTGAGTTTTACTTGCAAACGTCGCACATGAGAGACGAACCCATCTTCGTTACACCGCCCGTGCAAAAAGTGGTCTGCACCCGCGTTCCGTTAGGTCAGTAGTGCCAATAAGCTACCAGAGTAGATTTATCTAATCGCGATACTAATTTATAACCCACAAAGCGAGAGGAACGGTATGAAATCAGTCGTGATCGATATGCACTCATTTCTGTTATTCATTAGTTCTATAAGGGATCCACAACGCTTCAATGGTTTTCTGCGCAGATGTTTCAGTCCCGCAAGCTAAAATTGTGCACTTAATTTTAGTCATCGCCACCATGTTTTCATGTGTCTCCCGAAAGGTGTAACTAAAGGTGTCAGTAAAATGACATCGTTGCCTAAATGTGCTCGTTTAATACTTTTTCCAATCGCAACACTTTATCAGAGATGAAGGGTAGGCAGAGTGGTGGCATAGAATTGCTTTGCGCAAAGCCTTACAAAGCATGTGGTCTTTCATGTTGCGGAACGAGCATTTAATAGAATGTTCTTTGAATTTACTTTACGATACCACTTTATATTCGTAATACAATCAGACAGTTTGAGTATGTTGTGTATACATCATAATATATCGTATATGCTGTGTAACGTGGGAAGTCTAGCTTTCTATAAGAATTTAGTACATCTTTGTGAATCTAGGCTAGGACATTTCATTTGCGCTCTCGCGCAAGTACAAGCGTTGCATCAATAAATTCCGATAAGCAAAAAATGGTAACAACAAGAGAAAACATCTGAAAGACATTAAAAGATACATATATTTTCTGATTTTTTGCTTTCTTTTCTTGTATTTGAATTGTACTCAGCGAGTGAAATGAAAAAAGGGGAAAACTACAATTTACATTGTTGCCACGAGGTTTCATTATTGAAGAGGGTTATGTTATCCGCTTAGTCGAAAGTATAAGATATCAAGGTGTCACTAGGTAGCTTCTTTTTCTCATTTGGGATTTATCTTACAAGGTAGAATACTGCAACCTTACGAAATTGGCGGTCTGACAACATGCATCAATTCACAATGTTGGTTGCAGTCATGACCGAAAAGTTTTCCAGAGCATTCTTAAGGATTTATAATGTACGCTCAGCGTTTCTAGAGATATAAAGAAGGGGACTTGGTTATATTACGAGTTTGTCGATTCGTAGTTTTCTAACCACTTCCTCTTTCATCTCATAT